AACCTACGTTTCTATTAATAATTTATTTCAAAACCAATATTGCAAGTATTTTATGAATTACATTGGTAAAACTATTTATAATTCATGTATTAAATTTATGTATTTTTATTTTCCCAGACATTTCAAACAAAATATATATAGTCTATACATGTACAATGTAAATATCAAACAAAGCGGTATTGAGGGAAGCCGGATATTTTTATTGCAGTAATTACCGTATATTATACCTCAAGCTGTCATTAAATACTTAGACCACGTTTAATTAATACACTAGAGCAAAAACCAGGGCGCTGATTGTGGCGCTGAGCAAACATTTTCGGATTCGTTACGAATCTGAGGTGTTTTTATATCGGATTCGTTTTGCCGTTTACACTAATGCGCATGAATCCGATAGAAAATGATCACAGCCACAGGTAGAGTCTAAATCCGGAACTTTCGACCCGGAAAAGCCGTTTGCAAACTTATCTCGTGTAAATGCTTTCTGTAAGCAAGATAATCTGAATCAATTTGCTCCCGTGTATGTTTTTCAAATTTATTGCTATTATTATTAATTAAATACCACCGCCAAACAGAGTCAAAACATTGCATGATAGCAATAACAGGTTTAAAATTAGGCTTAATAATAATACATTCACTGACCGCTGTGTCCGGCTGTGTATAGTATAACTAAATGCCTCACGAATACGTATACTGGAAAAACAAGGAATCCGGAGACTTTTGCTCTGGTGCCAATGGCAATGTAAAGGCCGATTTACACAACACAACTTTTGCCTAAAACTGTCGCATGCAACCTGCTTACAACTTGAATTGTACTGTGTAAATCAAGCACACAACCCGCCTATGTTGTCGTAAGTTGTGTGATTGATTTACACAGTACAACCCAAGTTGTAAGCAGGCTGCATGCGACAGTTTTAGGCAAAAGTTATGTAGTGTAAATCGGCCTTGAATCTACTTGGTCTTAGTCTATATTGTAGTAATTATTTCGCCAAGTATATGACTTTCAAAATAAACAAACTATATGTCTATGATACTGTGACTAGTGGATCAAATGAGCATGAGGATTTGCAGTCATGCGACCTTGGTTAGCTGGACCTAATGCTTTCCCAACACTATCATATTCTAACACGGATTCTATTCAAGTTAAAACATATATAATTGGAGAACTCATCAAACCTTTACTTATCTGATAGTCTACGGTAATCTAGACTCTAGAGCGCCCCACGTAACAAAGTGTCTTCCTTTGACCGCGGGGATTAAAGTTATGACGTTAAACTTAAAGTCCTTTAAAAAACTTAAAGTGCTTATAAATTATCAAACAACGTCCTTGCAAGTTCTAAGGAGACTAAGCCTGTAAACTGGCATACCGGTATAATATTGGCATCAATGTTACAATAAAAGTTCAATGATTCAACTGTCTACTAAATATTAAAACAATATCATGCACATATATTATGCAGCGAGTCTTTGGCTTTGCAGTTTATTATTGACCTTCCGTATAAAGTAAAACAGGTATTATAGCGTTACTCGTTAGCATACCTTGCGTTTGTTTAGGTTTATCAGCTCTTATAAACACATAATTAGTATTGGCTCAACATGTTTTGATATGGAAATACTCCTTATATATACTCGTTGTTTCTTGGATCGATGATCATGTGTTTTGACATGGTAATTACAGTATCACTATACATTGCACGCCGTGATTGGCTATGAGCAGGGTAAAAGATTCCGATAAGGACTAAAGTCGTATAGGGTATTCCCCACATACGCAACGTCGAAATTCACCTTTATAAAAATAAATGTTGCAGTGTTTATTATCATTTTAGCATTTTTATTGCACACCAGTCAAGTTTCCTAAATCTAACACTGATGAAGTTGATTCTGGGTGTAAATCTTCCGATATGGAAGCTGTTCAACATTGTGACTGTGTAATATGATAATTTATTTCAAAACCAATATTGCAGCATTTGCTGCATTTCGTATGATAAAATTGTAAAACTATTTACATAATTTAGTACACTCCCTTTAATTTTCCCAGAGATTTCAAACAAAATATAGTCTACACTCTACACAATATAAATATCAAGCGACGTGCATGGTATTGTAATGACAATATCTTACCTCAAGCTGTCATTAAATTTGTTTGTCTAAAATTGTAGTAAAAGTTTCGCCAAGTATTGTGACCAAGTAAAGTCATAGCATTTAAGAGTTGAGGATTTGCATAAAGTTAAGTAAAACTTAAAGTACTTAGCAAGCAACGTCTTTACAGATTCAACTGGTATATATTAAAATTGGTATCAATATATGCCCATACAAGGTCAAGAATTTAGAATGCAGGTACATTATACATTATTTACACTATATTATTAAAGTATTAAACTCCTATATATAAGGACATTTCTCGTAAAGGGGTTCCCTCAAATATACCATAATGTAGTGTCGAAAATGCTACAAATTATTGTAGAAATTCAATCATTCTAACATATTTACTGCACACCAGTCACAGAAAGATCGTTTCTTACTTTCAACACCGACAAGGAATTCCCGATTAGGGAATTCCCCGGTGGATCATAGCTGCATTTCAAATTGTTATTGCAATTGCGTGGACTTGTTTCGAATGTCATGGCACTTCAACAACCTATGTTAGCAGACGCATGAACTTTACAAACAATGATGAACGGTGGTCCTGATGAGACTTATCATTTCATATCCTTAGTCAAATTTGAAAACAGTAAAAAGTACAAGGAACAAATATTGCAAGAAATTATAGCTGCTGCCTGTGCTATGCTGAATAGCAATGGAGGAAAAGTTGTGTTACATATTGAGACTGATAGCAATGATGTCCCAGTAAAAGGTTCCCCTTTCTCCCAGATGTCATTGGTGATTCGAATACTGGAACAATCTTTGATATCTACCATTGGATCACATCAAACCATTTCCAAAATGAATTTCGCAGAAGATAAAGAAAGCATAGTCGTTCTAATAAAAAAAGCTACTTCCTTAATAACTAATTATAACCTTTATTTACCAAGTCAAACACAAGTTATACTAGTGTCACCTTTGGAACCACTAGAAACAGTCAAGAACGATATCATTAACAGAAGAGTCGTTCTAGAACCAGTTCAACTTGGATCACATTGTCAGATCTTTCTTAAAGATAATAAATGCAGTTCCCAGGAGAACAAAACGGTTGCATTCAAGAATGTGAAAGCAGGTCAGTCAAAACGAACGACGCTAGCAGATCGCATGACTGGTAAAGGTAATAAATTCAGTTGCTATGTTTCAGCGTTTGCCAACTATAGCGGAGGTCACATTTATTATGGTATCAGAGATGATGGACTTATTGAAGGAGAGCTGATTCCAAATGAGAACGACAAGAATGACATAATAAAGAAAGTCGAGAAAGCTATCAACAAGATGATCTGGCCGGAGCATATCGGTCAACCAAAACGAGGGGAAGACTGGGATATATTCTTCGAGCCAGTGGTAGATGAAAACGCCAACCATATCCCATCAACCTTTGTGATCGTGATCTACATCGCTCCTTGCGTAGGTGGTGTGTTCACTGAAGAACCAGAATGTTATGAAATGGTGGAGGGGAAAGTCGAGAAGATGTCGTTTGCTAATTGGAAGAAGAGAGTATTGCAACGTGATGGTGTAGATATTCCTGCGGCCGTACAACGGATTGAATGGAGCTCATCTGCGACAGAACGTCGTTGCACTAAAGCTGATGAAGTTCTAATGACGGCCATAAATAATGGAAAGTGGAATTTTTTTTCAAAAACTGCAACGGTATTTGAAGATTACCCTGAAGTTGAAGTACAGCTAGTGGTTTTATCAAAAAGAGTGATAGCAAGTTACCGGAAAGGTTGTCTTAGCATAGCACGTGATCGGCTTGTTGAATACCACAAACTTTTATCGAAAGCAAAGGATCTCTTGATTTTCGAGATGATTTATTTGTATTTGAAAGCAGCTTTAGAGCGTGTGCAAACGAGGTTTCAGGCTGCTAGGCAGATCTTGGATGATGCTTTATTAAAAGTCGAACATTTACCACCAGGGCTTGTAACCGCCGCGATATTTTCATTTGCTGCAATACTAATGGATCAAAACTCTGGAAATGAGAACGTACCATCACCGGCTGAACTTTCTAGGAAGGTACTTGCGCACTTAAAGCACGCACCAAGGTCTCGAGTACAAGTAGACATGGAACAAAAGGCGTACATAATTTTGGCAACATTTCATCTTGGGTATAATATGTCAGGCACTGTAATCGAGAAAGATGCAAATGAATCAAAATTGGAAACAGCGAAGTCCAGCGTAATGGCGTTAAATAAATTGGTTTGTGATGGATATGCGCTTAGTCGATACCGTGAGGTTCAGTTCAATTTGGTACAGTCGACACTTTATTATCGGTATGCCCAAGTCAAGCCTGAAGGGGAAAAGGTATTCCTAGAAGAAGCATTTCAATTCTCTAAGAAAGCTGAATATCTTGCCAGAACTTTTAATTTCGATGAAATGCTTACCTGGGCCAAAGCTAGCGTTGCTTTATGCACTGAAAGATTAATGCATGCAAGCCTTATGAAAATGGCTAGCGTAAGGGAAAAATGTATCAGGTAAGTAAAAGGTAAGTATTTGCGTGATTGCATGCATGTGTTTTCCACAAACAAAAGAGTGCAACACGAGTATACGTGAAACGAATGTATACGAATCTTAATATAAAAAGTTATCTCTAATTTGGATTTCTAGATAAAAAACTGAAACTTTAACTCGTTTTCCTAGAAATTGAAAGATCATATTTTCTAAACCTGTGCTTGGCAATTATATATCTGGTTTGGAATTCGTTTAAAAACAACACAAACTTGTCGAAATTTACTCTACATATAAGTTCTTTGTATATAATTATTTGTATGGTGACAATATAATATTTGTTTTGATTTGTAGAAAACACAACGTATTTTTATTATTGCACTGAGCTTTCGATCCGTAAGCCCAGCCCCAAGCGGACGTTTGTGTTGACAAATTAAAAACGTCCCTTGCTTGAGCTCCCTTTTGTCACCTTAAAATGACGTGAATGATGTATATATATATATATATATATATATATATATATATATATATATATATATATATATATATATATATATATATATATATATATATATATATATATATATATATATATATATATATATATATATATATATATATATATATATATATATATATATATATATATATATATATATATCTGGAGCAAGAACTTCAGCCGAATGGCTGATGAGAAATGCCAATATGGCGGCCATTGGCGTCCAACAGCTTTGAGTGAAGTTCGTAAACAGTTTTTAAACAATTTTTCCCAGGTAAATCCAGTTTTTTCTAGTGGAGCGCATTGCTAATCAAGTTTTCAGTTCATATAATCATAATATTAGTCTTTAAATCGAAGTAAAAATACGAAATTTCGGCACACTCTTTGCCAAGATGGCGGAAATTGAAGAGGTATAGGACGTCAGTTCCAGTCCCTTTCTATTGTTTTTGTCTGCGCGGTTAACACGAAGCTGGCTTCACTTTTTGGTCTCGATTTCTCGTTCCAGATATATATGGAGCTCACTGGACTGATGCTATAAAAACGAGGTGTGAATTAATTAATATAACTCATGATTGGAACAAACCATATTTTATTAGCACTGCTAAGGATCCAGGCTTACGGATCAACAATAAATATGCATGGTGTTTTCCACAAAGCAAACAAATTTTATTCTAGATACTTAACATAAGATTGTACTCGTTTAAATATTTACTGACCTATATACTTCCGAAAACAAATATCAGTTATAATATAGTATGCAAATGAAAAGAGACAGAATAGGTTGATATGACTCTCTGAAACTAATGTTTTTTTATGTTACTCTGAGTGTGTATCCACACCGGGCAGGCTGAAAAGTTTGCCTGACCACGGTAGGAATCGAGTCCGCGACCTTTGAGATACTAATCCAATGCTGTGCCAACTGAGTAGAGCATTGGACATATTCACCTGAGTACATAACATCAAAAAACACATACAAAAATATCTCTCAAACTACCTACAACTCGAACTATACCTTCCAACATGAACGATTTATCGCGTACTGATCAACCGTAAACATATGATATAAGCTGTTTTAGCTGAGAAAATCGAACGAAAAACTAGTTATATCACTATGTACTATTTAAAACACGCGTAGCAGTGTTTTATATGATATTGAAAATGCGAGTGCGCAGCACAGGCATTTTAGATATGATAAAACACAACCACGCACAAGTGTTTTGAATAGCTTCAGACATGACTACAATAGATGCCATCTCATTCGTATTCCTTATATAAAGAATACTAATGAAGGTGAGTTTTATCAGGTATAAAGCCTCGTCACGTGACATATTATGGTTAACATGATTCGCCAATAAGCTTATGAATCAATAATGTGTGTTTGAAGAATTATTAACGATTATTAAGTGTAGTATGACGTTTTTGTCTGTCAATACGCCTAAAATGTTACGGGTAATTGCAAATTTCCTTTTGGATCAACTCCACACGATTTTGAGCATATCGTCTCATTTCCGATAGGCCAGCATCATTCGCCGACCGTTCAGCTCGTTTGGCGAGCTTTAAAGCTTTTTTCATACGATCTCGCAAAGCCAGAGGCTTGTCCGACTTAGTGTATCGATAAAAGAAGTCTGAATGGGCGAGAATAAGTTGGATGTCACGGAATTCACTAAGAGGAAACATTTCGTAGGTTTTGTTGAGACAATTTTGTGCCTCAGCCTTGATTATAACTGAAGCATCGGGATCCGCAAGCTTATTACCAGCAAGAGAACTGCCCGAGAAAAGCATCACCTCGTTCATGTAAATCTTTTGTTTGAGGTCCACTGTTGCAACTTCGAATCCGTGCACGTATTGTAAGTGACGTTCAGCTCTTGCGTAAAGTTCCTTTGCTTTGGTAACCAAGGGAAACCTTTCAGATCGATCCTCTTTCTTCATTGCGATAATATTGACAACAGTCGCTTCAAGAACTAAAAATGCTGCCGAGACGATGCCAGGTTGAATTTCATCTAACTTCTTCAAACATTGATCTGCAATTTCGTAACTTCTCTCGTAGTTACCTTGTGATCTTTCCTTGAAGCAGTGCAGATATTGTTCCATAACTTTAAATACCTCCACTTTAGCTGATTGCGGCAAGATAGTCTTATATTCCTCGAACATCTCACCCGCTTTTTCATAATAACCTTTCCTTAAACAAAATTTAATCAACTTGGATAGGCAGAGCAATCTGACGTCGACTCCGGCGTGGGTTGTTTGCGCATTTTCAGTTGCCTTCTTCAGTACGCTCCACTCGCAGTTGTCATTCAAAAGTTCCGTCAGCATTTCGTCAACGTCATCTTCGTACGAAGCTTTATTGGCTTCCTTACCACGCTCGCCTAAATAAATATAGGTTTTACTCTCGTCAAGTTGAATTTTATTCCTAAATTTAAAGACCATGCATGTCAAGTCCTTTGTTTACATACTAACTGAATATCTAACACTTTTCTGGTTCGCTATTGTAAATGAATATAAACTAGAGTACGTTTCAATTCAAAAAAGTTCGAAATATGCAAAATTTGTATCTTGAAATATGCAAAATTTGTATCATTGAAATATGCAATGTTTATATCTGTGGGTCCCCCTTTGTTACGAGCAGAACGAACTTGACATGGTCTTTTAGTGTTATTCAAAGTAAAAATTCCATAAATCCAACATTTGTGTTGCTTTTCAATGGACCTTTCCCCTTATAACTAAAATTTTGATCTAGACAAAAATTTCATCACAGCTTGAAAGAGCATCGCAAAGTTAGAACTATTCCAAAGTTTCGTTGCGAAATGTTGTAAAATGCGATAATAGCCTTGCGAAGTTTGCCGTTTTTCAGTCATTTTGTATTGCGCATGGGAAATTGACAGCCCAATCGGGTGTTGGGGCATCGATTTCCCGTTCGTAATACAAAATGACTGAACATTGCAAATTTCGCAGGGCTATATTATCCGCATTTTACAACATTTCGCAACGAAACTTCGGAATATTACTAATTCTGTGATGCTCTTTCAAGCTGTGATGAAATTTTTGTCTAGATCAAAATTTCAGTTATAAGGGGAAAGGTCCATATTTGCTGTACGGTTTTATTTTATGTACTATTTCATTTTATAATAATAGTAATTTAAATTCAAACTTTGCATACAAATTTAGGATTAATTACACCTTCACAAGATCTGGGGTAATTTGTGTCAATGACTTCTAGGGATGTAACAAAGACTTTGTCAATGGGGAGGGGGGGGGGGAGGTAGGGGTCATATTGCCTGAATTTTTAAATTACGTTTTACTTTAAGGTGGCTCCCTAGGGTTTTATTTCCGGGAGTTACGTTCTTCGTATATATGTAAACTAAAACTCGTGTGACTTCAAAATACGAACGAACGTGATGTTTTATAAGGAACTTTTTTTTAAACAAAAGTGTGAACTTTGCTTTAGTTAAAAGCATAAAAAGAGTTCTAAAAGCCAAAACGATACTTGGATATGATATTTCAAAAAAAGATAATGTAAACTTGTCAGTCTTCAAGCGGTATTCTGGAAGTTTTTTGAACCCCCGTGGTGCCGTACGCGAGGTTCGATTGCGAACATTGGGATATGAATAAAGTTTCCTCAAGAATTTGCAGTGTTTTCTCCACAATCTAGCAGCACTTATTATTATTATTATTATTATTATTATAATTAATTAATTCTCCAAACATTTGGTTTTTCAGATTAATATACATGTAAATTATATTTAAATTATTCTATTGTATATTTACAGTTTAAAATCGTTAAAATTAGATAAGTTCATTAAGATTTTAAAAGAAAGAGTTCAAGCAGATAGTTATAAAAATTACTTACAATTGTCATATACAGTAATGTTACTAGGTAGAGAGTTCCACAGGGATACTGCTCGGTATTCAAATGTTCGTTGTCCGGCCGCCGATCTATAAGCTGGAATGTTTAGTTTTTGTTTATTTCTGGTGTTTCTATCGTGTAAAGATAATCTCTCCTGAAAATAGGAATTGAGATAGTCCATTCAAACATTTGAACGTTAGAACGCCAACAAAGTATTTTAACATGTCTGGGACAGGTAGCCAATTCAGTTGTTTGAGTATTGGAGTAATATGCTCATATTTTTGTGTTCCTGTGATTATTCTCGCCGCGAAGTTTTGCACTTTTTGTAATTTTTCTATGTTCTTCTTAGTCGTACTGGACCATACGTTAGAGCAATAATACAATTTGGAAAATACTAGGGACGAGATGACATTTTCCAAAATCTTAGGGTCAAAAAGATGTTTAACCCTGTTTATCTGACATAAGCTCGCAATACAAGTAGAAACAGTGTTTGCAATATGTTCGTTAAAACTTAGTGTTGAATCAAGTTGAATCCCAAGATCGCGTGCTGAAATAGTGGGAGTAATCTTTTTCTCAAGTAATGTCACATAAAAGTCATCCGGTAATCGTTGCAACATTTTGTGCGTTCCTAGTACTAACACTTTGGTCTTGTCTGGATTAATTAGTAGACTATTGTGACAGCACCATGCTGTGATTTTTGACAGGTCTTCATTGATATTCCGCATAACTTCATTAACATACTTGATGGGAAACGAAAGATACAATTTTGAATCATCTACGTACGATTCTAAGTCACCGAAATTCGGGATGGCGGGCAAATCATTCAAATATATATTGAACAAAGCAGGTCCTAATATCGAACCTTGCGGTACACCATGAGTGATATGACCTGGTTCTGACACAACTGAGCCAATCTTCACCTGCTGCGTCCTTCCGGTCAAGTAACTTTTGAACCATTCTAAGGCGCCAAGGCTTAGGCCTAATGCTTTTAGCTTTGTTAAGAGTTTGCGGTGATCAATACTGTCAAACGCTTTGGACAAATCCAGCAATACTATGACTGTGAGTTCTTTTGAGTCCATTGCTTTAAACACTTTGTCTGTCATAAACACGCCAAGAGTCTCACATGAATGTAGTTGTTTATTACCACTTTGATGTTTACTTAGGCATTTATTTTTGTTCGTATAAGAGGTCAGTTGATTTAAAGCTACTCGTTCACAAATTTTAGAAGTCGCTGGTAGTAACGATAGTGGTCGATTGTTATTTGCCACTTCGTGATCTCCCTCTTTAAGAAGTGGTATTACTTCTGATATTTTCCAGGCTGATGGAAAGACTGAAGTCTGTAACGAGCGATTTATCATGTCAGTAATAACTGGGAGAATACATGGAAGTGCATCCTTTATCGTAGACATTCGTACTTTGTCATGGCCAGGAGCTTTATTCGATTGGAATGCCATAACTGTCCTTCGTACTTCTCCACACGAGACAGGAACAAAACTAAAATTTTGTGACTCAGCGACAGCCAGCGAAACACTTGTTGGAGGTGCAGGCAGGTTATATAATTCTATTAAAGATGTGCAATCTTCTGATACTCTCCTACCAACTGAGGTGAAAAACTGATTAAACTCATTAGCAACTTCTTTCACATCCTTTGTGTAGACTTGTTGAGTGCTTTCTTTACGAGGAATACAATTCTTAATTATCTTCCACTTTGAATTAGTGTTGTGACTGTGCTCTGGTTCTTTCCGTACATATTCCCTTTCGGCAACTCTCAGTTTGGATTTTACTTCTTTTCTTAGTTTACGATACATTTCCCAGTCTGTTGTTAATTTAGTACTTCGAGCCGTTTTCAATAGGTTATTTCTGTATTGCATAAGTTCGCGAATTTCTGTGCTAATAAAGGGGCAGCTGCGGTGTTTAATCCTCACTGTTTTCACAGGTGCATGTGTTTCCAGTACATGGAGAAACCTCTCATTGAAATGGTCTAGCATTACATTTGCATCATCCATGATGGAAATATCGTACCAAGGTATTCGTTGTAAATCCGCGAGGAAACTATCAGGTTTGTAGTTTTTGTAGGATCTCACACATTTATAACTAGGTGGCGGCTTCAACATCTTAAGTTTCAAAGAAGCATATATTAGATAGTGATCACTAATGTGAGATAAAGCAACCCCATGATTTTCTACTAAACTGACATTCGACGTCATAATAATATCAATAAGGGAAGATGACGTTTCTGTTACTCGTGTAGGTTCTTTTATCAATTGAGTTTGATTCACACTTGTACAAAAATCTAGTAGCGACATAGCCTCTGGAGAATCCGGTTTCAGCAAATCACAATTTAAATCACCTACAACAATTATCTCTTTTCCTAATGTGAGAGCATGTATATAATTTTCCATGAAAATGTCATGAAAGGTTGAAGTAGGACAATAATCAGGCCTATATGTCACACAGAGGAGAATTGATCTTAGTTTCCTGAGTTGTATTAGCATCCATAGCTGATGAAATCCGAATTCAGATATCCTTGTTATGTTTTTGAGACATTTGACTTGAATCGACGATTTAGAATAGACACAAACACCCCCTCCAGTCTTTCCCAAACGGTCCAATCTTGTTAGTTTAAAGCCCTCGATTTCTACTTCAGCGTTTGTCACCGTGGAGTTTAACCACGACTCTGACAAGGCTAAAATATCATAGTTCCTATCCTTCATAAATTCTCGAACCTGTATAAGATGATTCCTTATGACAATAAAGATGACTTAAATAATGAGCCCTCTACGGGTGAAAAGAGCAGGGCCGAAACTCCAAACATACCACCATAAAAATTGAAATTTGAAGGGGCATTTTGCGAAAACATCCGACGATAGTACTAACTCGCACGGGACGAATTTTGACAAACATTTTTCAAATTAATACCAAGAAGTAATAACCAGTAATTACCTAAATATCTTTGCCAATTTTACATGTATAATCCACGCTTAGTTGACCATTAACCGACACAGTTATAAACAGTATATCAAACATAATTTATATTTTGTAATTTCAAAAAAGTCATGCCTTGTTTTATTGAAAATGCATGTGCACGTCAGTTGTGGTATTAAATTGTTCGCGTCAAAATCTAGTAAAAATTGCCAAAATTAAACCCAAATTTCTCCGTTTTCCTTCGGTGAAATTTTTAAAACTTTGTACATTTTTTAATATCGGCACAACAAGTGCAATATCCTTTTTTCTTAAAATTAAATCTAAGGGAAAATTTTTAATATTGTTTTTCACGCTTTTTAAAATTTTCTAAGAAACGTATTCGATTTAATTTTTTTAAATTGAGGAGAAAAAATCACTATACAAGTATTACCTTTTATGCAAAGTTTTAAAAAATTGCACCGAAGGGAATTTTTAATTAAAATGACCTGAAAAAGACAAATTTTGAGCTTTATTCTAAGTATGCTGTTGCCATGACAACAGATTTTTAACACAAAAGTTGCAATTTGTAATGTTCAGGAGAACATTGACAATGTGTCCAATAAATTTCGTCTTCATGTCATGTAAAGTGAAGAAACAGGAGTCTCCTGAATACTATAGTGTAGTAAATTAAAAAACCCTAGGGAGCCACCTTAACTGAACTAGTGAGCAGTTTTTTGAAATTCAATGTTATTTCACGAGGACGGCGAGGCCGAGGAAATTTGAACTGTTTTCCACTAGGCGGAATTTTGCGCGCGGAGCGGAATGTTTCTTTGTCTTGTGATTTCTCGGGTGGAACTAATGAGAAATAACAAAGAAAAATTCCGCTCTGCGCGCAAAATTGCGCCTAGTGGAAAACCGGCTTTAGGCATGCATACTGCCCCGAATATTTTTGAACTTTAGAAGTCCGGAATGGCCTGCATTTCCTGCGATTTCAGGGTGAAATTCATGCAAACAGAACAACACAAAAATTGTGTGCCTAAACTACTAGGGGAGTTCAGGGGTATTTCCCCCCAAGAGAATTTTGAATATTTAGACCCAATACTCAGGAAAGCCAGAAAATGCAACTAAACCTTGGCATTTTTAGCGTGCGTTCACTCTTAACTTCCACGTTTGCCTCAATGCTCTCATAATTTACCTGAAAATGAACTCCATGCAGTCACCCTAAATTTACCTTAAAAGGGGGGAGGGTACACCCAATAAATCTTCATATCGAGATTTTGTTGGCATCTCATTCGATTGAATATATACATATATTAGACCTAACCATACACAACATTTATTGGACCTAAAGTTGTATTTTTCGCAGCTGTTCCTGCGACCGAGCACTACTGATCAGTGGTTTCGAGTGAGATGCCAACAAAATCTTGATATTTTTTTCTGTGTTGGTGTAGTGTACTCAGGTGAATATGATATTTGTTGTGTTACTCTGAGTGTATATCCACAGCGGGCGAGCTTCCCACCGTGGCCAGGCATATTTTTCAAGCTCGCCCGCTGTGGATATACACTCAGAGTAACACAACAAATATCAAAATCTTGATATTTACCCATACTGACCTACACATGGCAGCACCCTAGTATATATAAATGAACTTGTGGTTAGAGCTCGACAACTGGCTCTGTAGCTCAGTTGGTTAGAACGCTGCACCGAAATCACAGGACCTCAGGTTCGTTTCCTGCCAGGGACCTAAAGTTGCATTTTTCGCAGCTGTTCCTGGTTAGGTCTAATAAACCAGATGATCTTGATACGCGGAAAAGTACTGGCACTAGTTGTCAAATAGAAATCCATTTTATGATTAAAACAAGTGAATATCTCCTGTAATATACTTTATTTCGATTCCATATTTTTGTCAGAGCTATAGTTCTCATAAGCAAACATAATTACAAAATTTCAACTAGTTTCATAAAGAATAACGAAAGATATAATTGACTGAATACATCAAAATGGATTTCTATCCGGACAACCCTTTCTGAGCGCTGATTGGCTAAAATACGAACACGAGATCACCTGGAATGTATATACATTTCCACTCAATAATTTCCATCGACAATACCCATAAACCTTGATAAACATAGACTACTTTTTTATACAAACGGCAATTGCAGTAAAATTTACAGGCATCATATTTTATAGTCCCGATTCGAATACGTGATTAGAATTCTATTGAAATTTTTAGTTACCTTTATCTCTTTCCAAGCCTTCCATAATAAATTTTTTCCAAGTAGGAAAATCAATCATTTTTGCCTCATTTTCTTTAATCAAATAAGATTCGGGCTGCTTCGTGAACACACCACCGGGGCATTGAGCGACATAAATGACGATCACAAAGGTTGATGAAACTATTTCTCCGTTGGTACTTTTTACTGCTTCAAAATCGATTTGCCATCGCTTCTCTTCTCCACCTTGCGTATGGTGGTTGTCAGGCCATATCATACTTCCGATTGCTTTACTCATCTCCTTCTTTAGCTCCGTTTGGTCTTGGGGAGTTATCTTTTCTCCTTGGACCGTACCGTCGTCACGTATGCCAACATAAATATGACCACCGCTGTGATTTGCGAATGCGGAGACATAATTTAGAAATTTATTTTGTTTAATCAAACGTTTAGCGAGACTGGTGTTATTTGTTCGCTGAGCCAATAATTGTTTGAACTGAACTGTTTTGGATTCACGAAAACCAACTGCTGTACCCAGTGTGAATTCTTTAACATGAGAACCCGGTTTAACAGCTTCTGGGGAAAGAACATTCATGTATAAGATGTCCCTGACTTTCTCAACTGGATCCTTTGGTGATATTTCGATGACTTGTTGATTGGTTGGCAGAAATAAATTGTAATATAATGTATAGATGGAGTTAGTGTTAGACTCGGCAACAGTAATCTCCATTGATGCCAATGTTGGACAGTCGATAGTAAGGCAATACGCAAGCGTCACTACTCCTGTAAAATCACATATTTTTTGCTCGATCTTTCTGATTGACTCCTTTATATGTTCTTCAGCAGAAAGATGAGTATCAAAAAGGAGCGTCAGTTTACCTCCATAGCCATTAAATAAACCATTTATAATTTGTACAATTTTGTTGAATGTCGATGTTTGGTACCTTTTCTGATATGCATCGCTCATCTTTGTGGCACAAACGGGCAAATTGATATTTTTCGTTCGAGGAAACGACATTGTGATGGTAAATAACTTTCCCTGAATGTTATCATGGATGGAAAGACGGCCATTTCGTCAGATATTCGAATATTTCATTGTTAACCCAGTCATGCACCCTAAAAATCAAATGTGTTGATTGAATAACAATCATTTGTACTTTGTAGCCAGTAATATTGGGGCTTCGGTGGCGCAGTCGTCGGAGCAAGTGCCTTTCACCTCTGAGATCGTGGGTTCGATTCTCGCTACGGACTCATGTGAAAAGAGTCAGTCAACGCTCTGCCGAAAGTCGTGGGTTTTCTCCGGGTGCTTCCGGTTTCCTCCCACAGGGAAAGTTGACAGGGTGGGTTAGGATAAACATAGTTATATACAAAAGTAATATCACAATTGTTGTAAAGATAAATAGTCTAGGTTAAGTAGCATAAGTAAGCGTACAATACTTGATGTAATCGGTCACTAAAAAGCCCCAATGGGGAGTTTTTAAGCTGAATAATGTAATCTCTCTTATCTCTAAGTTGAAAGTACAAAAACGCTTGATTGGTCATACTTTGTTATTATCCAAATAAAAGAAATATTTTCCGCGCAAATTGCGATGTGAAATTGTCACAATTTGGCTATTCTTTGGCGTTATAGAATATTTATAATAGCATAATGTCCAACTGTATCAACTACCTTATACCTGAATGGAATAAAGAATGTCAAAAATGATAGAATAACTAAAAAATAAAGGCTAAAGTTTGTAAATATTTGAGATGAATAATTCCCAAACTTGTGGTTAGCACTAAAACCCGGAACGCCAGAATGGAAAACCCGGAACACTAAAAAAACACCAAAGAAAATCTGGAACGCCACTCAACACAAAGTGTTGGTTTAGAATTCGAAAGCATAATATTATAAATATTTAGTAAAAATTCTGCTAATTTTATTGTAAAGGTAAAGTTAATTTTCTTTTCCAGCATTGGCCGTTTTCCACTTCGGCGTTCCAGCGTTCCACGCTCCGGGTTTTTATTGCCAACCCAAATTTCTCTCACGAATGCCACGTCAGTTTTAGCATATGGTTTTATGTAACTATGGCTATAGCGAAGACATTTTAAACATTTTCCAACATATTTAACACTTTATACTTGAAATAATCTTCAAATAAAACTGAGTAGGCTATATATTAATTAACACAGCAAATCAAAGATCAATGCAATGTCGCAATAACGAAATAAGATAACTAGCAACTTAAAACCACCACACAAACATGTTGACAAAGATTACACACTCAATTTTCAACTAAGATGTGTACATTATTATCACAATCAGCATTAGGCAAATCGCTTGCAAACAGCAAAATCACGCAATATTTTTATTGAAAACAAGCGATTGGGATTTACGCAATACGAGTGCCACAAGCCAGCAGGATGTAAACATTTTGAAAGATTCGAAACCAGTTTATTATATATGGTTTGGCATTCAGTGCGTTATGCGGCTTCTACGCCTCATATTTACTGCTTATATAGGATATATTAGTGCAGGGACGCTTAATCTAGTACAGGGAGCCGACAAGAAACAGCCTTAAATTTTACACTTTGAAAATTGTAAAGAACTATTGTCTATTGTTATTAAAAACATTAACAGACCTATCATATTAAATGAGCATCAGACGAACAATTAAAATCCCATGCCCATGGGGCCAAGTTTTAGACGTCGTGGTCCATGCGTGGTCATATCATCCTCGCTCTTTGTAACGGTAAAATACAGATTATTACGTCTTGTGCACAACGCTTACATTTCAACTGCTACTTTCATTTGGGTCCTAGAACTTTTCTCAACATTAATCATGTACTAGCCTCAATATTGTATGTACTATTTTGCATACGATGGATAATATAACATAAGTTATCTTCTAGAATACATTTGGTTGAACGGGTCCATCGCCGTCGTGTTCCCGTCCGGCCTGCTTAACAGCTTAAGGTTGCTATTATTACACAAGAATAAATTTTTTGACGTTGATATTGCTACAATATTCGGTTTGCTGTACTTTAATAATACAAGATGATAGCACAAACCACGATACGTCCAGCTCAAAACACAGAAATATTAAATTTTGCATACCTGGGGTGCAGCTTCATTTTCATCTACCTAAAATCAAAAAAGACTCTGTGGCTGTGTGATACGGACTAGAAATCTAGCAATCAACTCAAAAATCATAACATTCAGTGTTGAATTTAATATTAGTTTTGACTGCGAAATATTCAGTTTTTTACTGCCATATATGGTAGTCGGTCGCCGGTGTTTAGATAGGGGAATTCCCTATACGGGAATTTTCCCTTGTCGGAAGATTTACCCCTATCATATTTTTTTTAACACTCAGTGAGAAGGTTCTTAGTTTTTCAGTGATTCTCACACGTTCGTTTGCTAACCTACATACAGTAAAATAGCCAAAACGAGAAATCTGCTAAAATTAGCAGTCTAAAAACGTAATTTAATAGCAGATTTCAGTTTGCACACTCAAATAATTTTAGGGGAATTCCCTATACGGGAAAAAGACCTCATCGGAACAATTTGCCCAGAATGTACTAAGAACAGGTAAAGAATACCAAGAAACATCGTCTTTGATGCATCTCAACGTTTTCTGAAGGTTAATCGAGATCGAGAAAATGTGACTTTATAAAATGGGCGTGACTAGTGGCGGCCAATGATGTATTCTCTTTTACACTGTATGAAGGTAAACTATGCATAAGATAAACAAACTTTATTAATTCGGCAGAAACCGTAGTGGTCGTCGTGGCCATTGTCACTGAACCGTGTCCACTCATCAAGTATTTTTTAGATATTCATATTTATCACATTTCTTGGTTAGGAAGCGTTTTACCTAAACCAGTACTCGTCTCGATGCTCGCAAGATTTCATTCTTGTCGATGCGGCACGAGTTGAGTAACAGATTAAGCCCAAGTTACTTTCATGTATTTTGGATTTTTGGTCTAAGCAGAGCAATCAGTTTCGTTTTGTATTTAATGAAAGCTTTGAAGTTCATCTATTTTGCGGGTATTTTAGAAGGGGGAGGGGTTTGGCCATTCGATTTATTATTCATACGACACACTGTGGAATTCAATTCATACAAAGAAAATAAAACGAAAAAATAGGACATAAATGCGTCGTATTTGAATTTGTCTGTTGACTACGAATTCGTTAAAGGCGTTTTGTCCGTCATATGATGAGGGAAAAAATGTTCTGAAACGCGTCTCGTTTCATGACCGAGCGGGGTCAGCGCCATGAACTCGTGATATCCGCTGATTCACGATTGCAACACTGAGTTCGAGACTTCCTGAAGATGTCTTGAACTACAGCAGCTAGTGTTGGTATTTGTGAATGCATTGAATCAAACTCTGAAGCATTTTGAAATCGGAATATTGTGAGAACTGCGAAATGTCGTTAGGAAAACACAGAAGTCAGAAGGGACACAATCGTTCCCACAGTCCCAATAATTAAGCCTAGGCACTATTTAAGCCTTTCGCCAGTATCATTGTGATTTTTGTGACGAAATCATCTGATTTCTAATTGCTTTCAAGATGATTTCCTAATTTCTAAGCCCGATTACCAAATTTTGTCTTGATTCAGCAACGGAAATGTATTTTATAATTATACGACATTATCTTGATGACGAACATAATTGTTTGTATAATCGGAGTTTGCCTGACAGCAATACATAAACAAAGGCAAAGCGTCTGCACTATAATCTGCAGTTGTGAGCTGGTTGTTAGTCTGTTTTGACTAGCAGTTAAATTAAGCATAGTTTCAATTTGGTCGTTAGTTGTCGCTGGCATGACAAGTGGGCTGATGTAATAGAGTGTCAACAAAACTTTACAAAACTTTGCAATCACTAAGACTGATTTGCATCTAACCCACAAAACGACTATTATTATATTTGACTATTTCACATCTACTGCTTGTCCGGTGCCAGCGACAACTAACGACCAAATGGAAACTAAGCTTTACGCTTTATGAAATGCAATTCGTTATAAGCATTTATACTGGCCTTTGCATAAACATTACTGGCCTTATAAATCTGTAGTATCAACTTACAATGAATCAGCTCGCTTAAAGCCGGGTTACAGTCCGTAATGTAAACAAACGCTTTGTTTACATTTTGAACTGCTATATTTCTTAAAATATTATGAACTGTCAGAAAATTTAACACTATTTTGGTTCGCTATACTTTTAAATAAGTATGAGCTAGTGTTTATGTTCAGAAATATACAAAACATGCGAAATTTGCACAATTTTGAAATCCAGTAGTCTACCTTTGTTATGAGCAGAACCGATGCGCAGAACGGACTGTAACCCGGCTTTAAGGTTACATTATATGATGAAAACACTGATTTCATCATTTTTTACATTTTTATTGATTTATATTCACGGACAGGAGATCTATCGATTGCCGGAAGTTTTTTTCAAAAATATTAAAATGCGTCCGAAATATAACAAAATATGTTATAACCACTGATTCCTTTGCCGCGAAAGTTGTAATTGTAATTGACAATATGTGGCTTGATGTGATACTCGATACCGGATGTGTGACCTTCAACCTCGCTCGTGTCTTCGTGGTGCACGACAGATCTTCAACTGTATTTTCGTTTGGCCAATTTAGATCGGTCTGTATAGCTATCCCTTTTTTACATTTGCGTTTCGCCGGCATATTAGCAAGTTTTTTCGCGTGGTTTCTCGCATGTACGGTTTGTGATAAACTGATGATGAATGAATGACACCGAAAACACTTGCTAAAACACACTTTACTAATTTTAATCCGATTACAGTCCGAGGTGATAACAGAGAGCGGAAAAACCCCGCCAAACCTAATGTCGTCTTTTACGGAGATTGAAATATTCTCAGATTGTCCCCACAAAAATTGTTTAGAAACGCGCACGTTTTATCCGATTCCCTCCACACTTTGCCACAATGTTGAACAATATTACAGCAGCAAAACCGTGTTCGCGTTTTTTATTTAGTGCCATACTTTTCAAGTTATAGGCATCTATTCTGCCATTCTCCCAAAATTTAGATGAGTCAACTTCTCTGCTTTATATCAAAGCAAATATAATACCTGTCAAAAAACGCGAACACGGTTTTGTTCTTTGATCATTTGAGATGGGAAATATTATGTTTCGGAAGCCTTTGAGGTAAATCAGAAGCGTTCTAATCTCGTGGCGCAAAGGCCGTCATATTTTCAAAAGCAACCCGTAGCAAGTACAGTTTTTAAAGGTGTAGAATTTTTGGCAAATCGTTAGCTACAGCAATGATTTATCATTATGCATGCAAAATTTGAAGGGGAAAACTTGAAAATTGAGCGCGCGGTGAGCATTTTGGTGAAATGGGTTTCCATCATGTGGAATAACCTTAAGTCTACTAACCATATAAAATTATATTAATTCACTATTTTATTAATTTTTGACAATGCAGAGAAAAAAACTATACATATTATAGAAGTATTCATGTTGTTTTTTATGCGAGAGTTATATTTTGAGGAATTTTACAATAATATAAGCTACATTTCGCAATATATTTCGCTAAATTTGTGATTATTTTCGATAATTTCACTGCAGTTTTAATTTAAATTCAGCCGTTTAGTGGGCTGCATATGCTCATGTGTCAATTCTTACCGTTGTTTCATCGGAATCAGTATCGCCGACCACTCTTCTAATATTCATGCACTCCGTCTCCCGATCTTTGTGGCAAACACGAGTGCAAAACAGCTGCACACTTCTGCAGGGACACGCATTTCTACCCCGCATTTTTAGACACAAATCCGTACAACTGCATATTTTGTACAGTTGTCCAAATTTGGGACACTTGCTAGGCGTTCCAGTTCAATGCTTTCCACATCATCGAGTGTCACGCTGTGCTCATCCGCCATTTTGTCAATCATCAATGCGTGCGCCAAAGAGGTAATACTTGGTGTAATATTTTGTGAAAATGTAAACAAAACATTGAAATGTAAACAAAATCCAGCACATGCGCAGACCGGACTGTAGATTACCTTTAATATATTGCAAGGTAATAATTATAGTATATATCATTCATATACAATTTTTATAAAGTGCTATGTAATATAAATAAATAGGATGGCAAATTTAACTATAATTTCTATACTACCAAATGCTTACCTTATCTTTTACATATATCTTTTCTTTCTTGCATATAATACATACATTTGGAAGAACCTCATTATTTCTCGCAGGAATTTCGACTAACGGTGATATTATGGCAGAACGTGTACGCTTTCTTGGATTAATCGAGGCGGTAGCAACTTCACACTGATTTATTTCCGACTGCTCTACAGCTAGGAGCTTTTGCTGCTTAGATTCTGCCCTTCTTATCTTTGTTACGTCGGTAAATTGGCGGTAACAGTACTTATGGAAATAGTACTTAGAAAAATCTAGTTCTTCATTCGCACATATTTTCAGACTCTCGTGAGCTATTTCTGACGATGTACCTGGTAATTGCAGCCACTGAAGTCGACAGTTTTTAAATTTAGTGAAAGTTTGCTCAGTAAAAGTATTTATCTTTTCCTTAACGCCTTTTAAATGGACTAAACAAGATTTGCCCTGTGTCTCTTCGTCGGCCATTTTGTTTCGTTCAAGCCGACTGTTGTCATGGAAACGCAGCAGATACCGGGAAAATTTTCATGCCAACGCCACTATTGTCATGGTTACGGGGTAAAATACCCGGTCACATGCAGGAAACAAATTAACATGCTGACAGCAAATAATATAGAATTCAATGCGATTTTACATAAAAACTGCGGGGTTTCAGACTTGGGAACAAAAAGAATTGAATTCAGCACACTTCAAAACGTAAGTCTGTATCGAAATATTTTATTCTGCAAATTTGGGCAACGTAACTGCTTTTCTTGAGGACTTTCATGTGGTTGGCCCACGGCCTATT